GGAGCACTTATGGAGGGACCCATGACTCCAGCTGTATATGTAAGGGAGGGTGGTCCTGTCGGGCATAGGTAGGAGAGGAGATCCTTGGTCCCATGAAGGCTGGATGCCGTGTGTGGGGAATTCGAAGGTGGGGAGGTGGGAGTTGGGGGGGGGGGGTAGGTAGGGGCATATCCACAAAGAAGCAGGTGGAAGGGTGATGGGATAGAGAGTTCCTGGGTTGGGGGTGGGAAATAGGGTAAGAGAATAACATCTGAAATGTAAATAAAATATCCAATAAATGTATACGTGTGTGTGTATATATATAATTTCTTTTTTTTTTTTCCTTTTCGAGACAAGGTTTCTCTGTGTAGTCCTGGCTGTCCTGGAACTTACTCTGTAGACCAGGCTGGCCTCAAACTCAGAAATCCGCCTGCCTCTGCCTCCCAAGTGCTGGGATTAAAGGCGTGCGCCACCACCGCCTGGCTATAATTTCTACCATACTAGAAATAACTCTCTCCTAAGAAAATAAATATCACACTCACATACATGCATGCAGAAAACAATACCAACACTTAAAAAGCAGAGGCCAGCCTTGTCTATATAATCAATTCTAGGTAAGCTGAATGTGGTGGTTAATGCTTTTTATTACAGGACTCAGGAGGCAGAAGCATGCAGTTCTTTATGAGTCTTAAGGCCAGCCAAAACTACAAAGTGAGACCCTGTCTTCAACAAACAAAATGGCATTTTTAAGAAAAGAGGCTATTACTACTTGGGTGTGTTTTTATTGTTTAAGACAGGGTTTTACATATAGCCCTGGCTGGCCTGGAATTCAGAGATCCTCCTGCCTATGCCTCCTAAGTGCTGGGATTAAAGGCAAATTGTCACCAACACCCAGTTAAATATTCCTTTTTAAGCACTTATTGTAAGACAGGTACAACTGTCTCATAGGGAACTCCAGGCTAGCCAGAGATATATAATGAGGTAGAATTCACTATGTAACTCTAGCTGGTCTGGCCTGAAAGTCACCATCATGCTGGCTTCAAACTCTCAGAGATCTGCCTGCCTCTGCTTATAGTGTGCTGGGATTAAAGTTATGCTGTTACCCAAAGATATGCCCAGCCCAAACTTCAAATTTCAATAAAGCATATAGTACTACAAAAGTATATTTAAGGGACTACTGATAAAGAGTGACGAGGAACACTTATTGAGCCTTTATTCAATAAGTGATGAAACACTGTGAAACCCAACTCCCCTAGATCTGATCTTAGCAGCTTTCTTATACTTGAAATGGACTTCTTCCTTGTTGTTCATTCTACAGCACCACCTCACTTTCCAGGCGCTGTCCTTTCATCTTTGGCCCTTTGACCTTTCTAATATTTATTTTATAAGACCAGGGAGGTGGCTCAATGGTTAAGAGCACTGGTAACTAGCATCCACATGGTAGCTCATGCACTTGCACTCTCTTTCATTCCTTCTCCCACCTCTTCCACCAGAGAGTCTGATATCCTCTCTTCTGGTCTTTGGAGATACTGCACGCACACGTTATACAAACATGTAGTCATGATTTTTAAAAAAGAACATTTTTTAAGCAGGTAGAGGCCAAAATCTTTGTCTAGAATAGTGTCATCAAGAAAGAGATGGTAGTTGAAGTATATGAGTAAGAAAATAAGCAAGGAGACTGAAAAGGTTTAAAAAGGAGGACAGCTCTCATCACAGTACAGTTTCAAGGAAGTGATTAACTCTTGTAGTAAGATCAAGATAAGGACTATAAATGGCCTATTATCAAGGGGATTTCTGTGACCTTGTTCACTTAAGATATACTCGGCACAGTAGAAGCTACATTGGAGTAAAAAGCTGGATCCAAGCCAGGCGGTGGTGGCACAGGCCTTTAATCCCAGCACTTGGGAGGCAGAGGCAGGCGGATTTCTGAGTTTGAGGCCAGCCTGGTCTACAGAGTGAGGTCCAGGACAGCCAGGGCTACACAGAGAAACCCTGTCTCAAAAAAACCAAAAAAAAAAAAAAAAAAAAGCAAAACAAAACAAAAAGCTCTAAATGAAACATCAATTGGAAATGAAAAGGTAGAAATACTACATATTCAAAAAACCTGGCTATCATTAAAAAAGAATGAAAAATTGAAATTCTATGGAAATAGTCTTGTATATAATGTAGTACATATGAAGGACTTAAAATTAAATAAAAACTGGATATTGGGATGTAAAGTGAATAAACGAGCAAGGCAGTAAGACCCTCCCTCATCTCAAAAACCAGTTTTAACATATAAGACTTAAACAAAAATCACTGTGAAATTTCATGTTAAATAGTTTATACCTCCATTCTATCGAAACATATCCTAGGTTATAATCTATAACATTGTCTCTTTCATATTTGCTTTTGAGACAGGGTCTCACTATGTAATTCTGGCTGGCTTAGATAGAACTCTATGTAGAACTCAAAAAGACTTGTGATTTGATTATCTCTGCTTCCTGAGTGCTAGAAATAATGGTGTGAATCACCATACTTGGCCCACAAGGCTTTCCTTGTATAGCCCAGCTGTAATGTTCCACTTAAAACACAAACACACAGAGCATTTTATGAATGTATCAATTGAAGTATCAATTCTGATTTTTTTTACTATCTGTCCTACCTTTCTATTCTATTTGCTTCTTTTCTTTTCCCTTTCATCCTTCCTTACCTCTCCCTCTCCCTCTTTCTTTCTTGTTATTCGAGACAGTATCTTCTATGTAGCCCTGGACCTTGCTCTGTAGAGCAGGCTGTCCTCAAACTCACAGAGATTTACCTGCTTCTGCCTCCCTAGAGCTGGGATCAAAGGCATGTACCACCATTGCCAATATCGTTTTGGATTTTTTGAAACAGTCTCTCTTTGGAGCCTTGGCTATCCTGGGACTTACCATGTAGACCAACTAGGCTATCCTTGAACTCACTGCCTGTCACTGCTTCTTGAGTGCTAGGGTTAAAGGCATGTGCAACCATGCCAGGCCTTTTTGCTGCTTCTTAACTGTCCAGGCTATTAAGTTTTGTTATTCAACATGGGTACTGTTAAGAGTTTCTTTACTAGTCTCCAAATCTCACTCTCTTCTACTTTATTATTTGATAAGTTCTCAAATGGTATTTACTAAAACTGCATCCCTCTCCTCTCCCACTGGTTTAGTGTGACTTACTGGGCCTTTCAACCTCAGTCTTATCTACCTTGTTTCATTTTTATAGTCAAACCTAGCCATCACCTTATATACAAGCCAAACTTATTTGTACTTTCCCATCTAAAGCATTTTTATGTATTTTTGCATTTGGCTCTCTATCTGGAACCTCATCATCCTTTTCCTCTTGATTATTGTTCAGCATAGTAGGTGCTCAGTAATTAACCATGATAGTCAACATCCTTTAAGACTCAGTTCAAAAACAAATTCCTGAGGCTAGAAAGATGACTCAAATGGCTAAGAACATTTGCTGCTCTTGAGGAAGACCTGACTTCAATTTCCAGCACCCATGTCTGGCACCTCACATCCACTTTTTTTTTTTTTTTTTTTTTTGGTTTTTCGAGACAGAGTTTCTCTGTATAGCCCTGGCTGTCCTGGAACTCACTGGCCTCGAACTCAGAAATCCGCCTGCCTCCGCCTCCCAAGTGCTGGGATTAAAGGCGTGCGCCACCACCGCCCGGCTCTCACATCCACTTCTAACTCCAGTTCTAGGGGATCTCACGCACCCTTCTGTCCTCCACAGGCACCTCGCCTCACACGCACACCCACACATACATATAATTAAAATAATTACGGGTGGTTTTGTTGTTGTTGTTTCAAGATAGAGTTTTTCTGTGTAACTGGTCCTGGCTGTCCCAGACTCACTATGCAAACCAGGCTGGCCTCGAATTCAGAGACTCATCTGCTTCTGCTTACCAAATGCTGGGATTAAAGGTGTGTACCACACCTGGCCCTTAAAAAGTTTTTTAATTATAATAATTTTTTTATTATAATTTTTCGATTTAATTTTTTTAAATTATAATAATTTTTGATTGAGTGTGGTAGCACATACCTTTAATCCTAACAGAGACAGGCTAGTCTCTATGAGCTCTACATAGTGAGTTCCAGGCCAGGCAGGGCTACATAGTGAGATTCTGTCTCAAAAAAAAAATGACTTAGCCATGCTTGGTGCCCCACAAACATGAGGTGGGAGCAGGAAGATCAACTCAAGTGTAGAACAGGTTTAAGGTCAGCCTACGATACATGAGACTATGTCTCAAAAACAAAAAATCTTTTTAACTTTTACTAGTTTATGAAGTCTTTCCTAGCCCTCAGATTAAAGTACTGTTTTCCCACTAATGCAGGTTGTATATCTTTTTATTTATAGCCCTTATCAAGATGTGTTTTAGTTGTCTATATCAACTGAAGTATAAAGCACTTGAACACAGAGACCATTCTTACTATCAGAAGATAAAGCAGGTAGCAAAGCGTTTAGCAAACATTATTCCATCAATTGAGGTGCTGAGCAAAATTACATATAGCAAAGTTTGCCATGGTCTATAGCCAGCTACACATTTCAGACTCAGCTCCATGTAACTTTGAGATGCAACCTTTCAAAGCTTATAGAAACACAATGATGACTCAAAGAACAGGGAACATCCATTTGATTTTCATTAATGCCTCATTTTCCTATGCTTTACACAATTTGAAGGATAGACTGATTTCCATGATTCTTATAGAACACTCTCTAAAATATGTACCTACTTTAAAAATTGAGAAGATTAAATAGTTCAGCACTGAACCTGACAATCTAGGTTCCAACTCACATGATGGAAACAGAGAACCAACTCTGAGTTGTCCCCTAACCTCCAAAAGCACACCAGGATAGCACAAATACATAAATGTAGAAACAAAATTTTAGAAAGTAAACTAAGTTACTTGATTTAGCTATCACTTCTTAAACCTGCTTAAGCTTTAGAATTTTAGTAATGAAAATTAATACTAGAGAGATAAAACTTATGACAGAGAAAGAAAATAAATACCCACCATTGTACTTAACACTGTTGGCTAGAATCAGGTTTACATCGTCTAGAAAGCTCTCTCGACTCTGATATTTGTGCTTGGAGATATTCTATGATAAAAACAATCAGGCACTCAGTTACACATACAAAGATATTTATTATAAAAAGCAAAAGCCACTGATTATAAAAAAAAAATCACTTACCTTACGTATAGTCTCCAAATCCATTGGACTGACAATCACTTTGTAATAATCTGGAACAAACTTCTTATTAACTGGGTGATGAAACGGCCAAGACTAGTAAAAAGAAAGCATGGAAAGTCAAATGAAAATCATTACTTATATCAAAGAGGCCCAATTTTCACTGAGTTATAAATATTTCTGATGAAAAAATATAGGCTCATTCTACAGAAATATGAATCCGCACACAAACTTATCTGTAATTTCAGGGTCTCATTAAAGATTCTTACATCCAGATAAAGTGAGAATCCCTCCTCTAAACTTAGAACTGAAATCTTATTTCTGTGTTAAAAGACTAAATTTTGCAAACTAGAATAAAATTCCTTATTCCATAGTTCCATCTAGATTTTTTTTTTTTTTTTTTTTTTTGGTTTTTCAAGACAGGGTTTCTCTGTGTAGTCCTGGCTATCCTGGAAATCACTCTGTAGACTAGGCTGGCCTCAAACTCAGAAATCCACCTGCCTCTGCCTCCCAAGTGCTGGGATTAAAGGCATGCACCACCACTGCCCAGCCTCATCTAGAAATTTTTTAACACTGTAGACATAGATCATTATGATCATATGCAACAGAATATTTAATTCAGAATTTCTGAGGGGTCCAATATATAAAATGGTCCTTAGAACTAGTATGATAAATGATAGCCTTGTCATAAAATTAAACAAAAAGGACAACAAACATTGAGTAATTGTTGAGTATTTTTTTTCTGTGAACATGCAAGATGGCTTAGTGGGTAGAGGTGCTTACTTACTAACAACCCACTGACCTGAATTTAATTCCTGGAACCCACAGGTTAGAAGAGAAGCCCAATTTCCCAAGGGATTTAAAAAAAGAAAAAAAAAGAAAAGACAGCATCCTAATGTGTAGCCCCGGCTTGCCTTGAATTCAGAGGTCCACCTGCTTTTTGCTTACCAAGTGCTGGGATGAGAGGTTGTGCCACCACACCCTACCAAGTGTTTTTGACCATACACAAAACATGACTTATGCCTTCCTCCTCAACATGCACAAGTAAATAAATGTAATAAAAATGTTGAAAGTGTTAGTATATGACCATTTCTAAATCAAGAACCTACTATTAGTTGACAGCTCTGCTCTCCCAGGCTATTCAACAGTGTACAAATACTAAATACTGACAATAGGAAGAAGCTCTTAATATTCAAAGACACTTGGCATCTTTACTTCCAATGATAATGAATTCACATAGTAAAAGGTTGATATTTAAAATTGCATCCCAGTTCCTACGAACACACATCACCCCATGTATTTTTTTCTTTCTTTTTTTTTTCTTTTTTTGCTTTTTTTTTTTCGAGACAGGGTTTCTCTGTGTAGCCCTGGCTGTCCTGGACCTCACTCTGTAGACCAGGCTGGCCTCAAACTCAGAAATCCGCCTGCCTCTGCCTCCCAAGTGCTGGGATTAAAGGCGTGCGCCACCGCCGCCCAGCCACCCCATGTATCTTAATCTCTTAATATAACATGTACTTCTTTCCATCCTCTACTACTATCCTCTCAATATTTGGCATGAAAATTACTTACATCTGGAACTGCCATCATTTTCTGAGTGACAATGTTGTCCAGAATAAAAGAAAATGCTACTTGATCATCATCGTCAAGCAAGGGGTTAATAGCTTTCTCTAAACGTGCCAACTTATCCTCTTTCTGAAATAGAGCAAAACAAAATGAAAACAGTTTTCCTGAAGTATGATGTTCACAGAAAAGCTAAAGATAATTTAAAGTCCAGCTAATTGTCTATGACTTTAGTCCCCCAAAATTTACCTCTGAATTATCTACTATCCAGTTTCAGGTCAATCTAGATAAATGATACTTTGGCTAAAGGATCACAAAGGAACATGGCAGCAAATCTCATATTCTACATCCCATTCTTGTATAGCACCAAGAATAGAAAGGTCAAGACAATACTAGTTTTCTACAACAACAGAATCTTTGGCAAATCTGGCTTTTAGAACATTGTCTTTTATATAAAATGAATGCCAAGAATACAGAACATTACCATTAGTTAATGGCTCTTTTTGTTTGTTTTTCTAATAAGGTATGTATCCTATGTAGCCTAGACTGACTTCACATTTAATATACAACCTCAGCTTGATTAGTGACTTGTACAAGGAAACTTAAACAAATTCATTTCTGTCTGTGTAGTATGAAAATCTCTATGTTCTCATTGCCTCTATCCTCTGTGTTCTCACTGTACCCTTAATCCTTAGTCTCATAAGCCCCTCCACCACTTTTTTTGAGACAGGGTCTCCTAAGTCATAGGCTAACCTTGAACTTGCAGTGTTGCCACAAATTAATTACCTTGAATTTCTGATCCTCTTAACTATATCTCCCTTGCATACCAATATTGAATCTCCATACTGTATACAAGACTTTAGCATTCTAACAGATACAGAGAAAAATCTAATTTAGGGGGAGGGTGGTTTTGGTTGTTTTTTTAATTTTGAGACAGGGTTTCAATATATAGCCCAGGCTGACCCAGAACTTGTGCTCGCCCTGCTTCTGGCTCTCAAGTGCTACAATCACAGGTATGTATTACTATGCTCAGCTAACTGTGGCTTAAACATGTAATTTATCTCAACCAAGGTGACAAAATTTTCCATGTTTATCAATCATGTTCTCCTTTGTTAAGCCATCTATGTCAGCATCAAACTTCATTATTATCTGTGCTTTTATAAACTTTTAAGGTATCACATTCTTTGGTAAAAATAGGGGTTTATAGAGGGACAGGACTGTAACTTACTGGGTTTTTTTTGTTTTTTTTTTGTTTTTTTGTTTTTTTTTTGGTTTTTCAAGACAGGGTTTCTCTGTGTAGTCCTGGCTGTCCTGGAACTCACTCTGTAGACCAGGCTGGCCTCGAACTCAGAAATCCGCCTGCCTCTGCCTCCCAAGTGCTGGGATTAAAGGTGTGCGACACCACTGCCCGGCGCTTCATTTTTTTTTTTTTTTTTAAAGATTTATGTATTTATATATGAATACACTGTAGCTATCTTCAGACACACCAGAAGAGGGCATCAGATCTCATTACAGATGGTTGTGAGCCACCATGTGGTTGCTGGGATTTGAACTCAGGACCTCTGGAAGTGCAGTCAGTGCTCTTAACCACTGAGCCATCTCTCCAGCCCTCATTTTTTTTTTTAAAAAAAAAAAGATTTATTTTGATTTTTGAGTCAAAGTTCCATGTAGCTTAGGCTCTTCTTGAACTCAATATGTAGTTGAGGATGACATTACGTTCCTGATCCTCCTATCTTCAACTCCCAAGTACTAGGATTCTAGGTGGATGCCACTATGTCCACTACTTTGTCTTATCTTTAATTCTTACCTCTTTGAGTTTTTCATCACAGAGATCCAACATGGATTGAGAAATCTGAGTCAGTGAGTGTTTTGGCCCTACAGAGGAATAAGAAATGCCATTATAAATCAAAGTTGTCACATGTTTCCAACACTTCATACATTTACTAAAGAACCTAAAAAGGTCCCAGGCACCAGCCTAGTAACTGAGGTAGATAATAGCAGTCTTTTCCTTTTTTATTTTTCTAAGACAAAGTCTCATTTATCCCAGGCTGGTCTTGAACTCACTATGTAGCTGAGAATGACCTTCAACTTCAGATCTTTCCACCTTCACCTCCTTGGGATTACAGGTATGTGCTACCACACAAGGTACAGACACTACCAGTCTTTACTCCATTTTTCAGTGCCTAATATATCAATGGGTAGATAATATGAATGAATTTTAACTGTTCTTTATTTGTGACTATATACTCTTTTGGATTACAGCTGCTTATTTGTTCATGAGCTGTCACAACTGGAGGCCAGTACTAGGGCCAACACTGAGCCTTAAAATATATGAATTAGGGCTGGAGAGATGGCTCAGAGCTTAAGAGCACTGACTGCTCTTCCAGAGGTCCTGAGTTCAATTCCTAACAACCACATGGTGGCTCACAACCATCTGTAATGGGATCTGATGCCCTCTTCTGGTGTGTCTGAAGACAACTACAGTGTATTCATATAAATAAATAAACCTTTAAAAAAATGACTTGAAAAAGAAATCATTGCATGACAGTGTAATCCTATCAAATATCTATGACTGAAATGATACAGTCAGAAAATCTATAATAAACAAGATTCGCCACAAACTGACAAATTGTTAAATTCAATGAGTAGGTACACTAAAGTTTATTTGTCTTAGTTTCCATAAAAGTTAAAAAAAACTATCAGTATAAATGAAATATATTGATTGCATATAAACCATATTCTATTTCCATGTATATCAAATCTGCTAATTGGAAACCAAGACTGGTGGTACAGGTTGGTAATTTTACCTACTCAGGAGGCTGAGGCATAGGATACAAGTTTAAACTCAGGCTGGACTACAAGAAAAGTTCAAAGCTAGCCTGTGCAACTTAGCAAGGCCTCATTCCAAAATAAAAACTAAAAGGGAGTCTGGTCTATAGCTAAAAGTACTTGCCTAGCATGCTGGAGGTTCTGGGCTCGATCTTTAGTAAAATAAAAAGAAAGCAAAAAATCTGCTCTCGGGGCAAGGAAGGAAGGCTTGTTCTAACTCACATTTAGTTAGTTATTAAAGAATAGAAGCTCAATGGGCAAGTAATAGGGAAGGACATTCCAGAGAGAAGGAACAAAGACACAGAACTAATTAGTCAAATTCATATAAACATGAACAATACATTTCATCAGGGCCTCAATTAGTTTTGATACATATATATGTGAAAGATAGGACATGAACTTGGAAAGTTCGGAAGGGACAACATTAGACAATAGTATAGGTACTAGAAAGATACTGAGTATTTTAAACTCATTTTTAAAATGATGCTTCTTTTCTTTGTTCACTTGTTTGATACTTGGATATCATACATGCTAACCAAGTGCTCTATCTCTGTGCTACACCTATTAGTCTAAGACTGTAATTTCCTCAATTTGAGTTCTGGGGGAGAATTGCCATCCTGTCAACTATAGGAAGAATTAAAGCAAAAACACTATTTGGAAACTGTTGTAAGAGGTTAAACAAGAGCTATCAAGGGCTTCAATTAACCAAGTAGCAAGGGCGACAAAAAGGAAAGGGACAAGTTCAAAAATGCAGATAGTATAGTTTATAGGACTGAGTGTGAGAAAAGGAGCATGGGATCAACTGTGATTAAAAATTCTAGATTGTATAACTAGGCAGCCAGCAAAATTCTTTATTTATACAGACAATCAGATAATGAATTGCCAGTAGGACAATGAGAACTATCATGTCTAGCAAATACCTGGAAGTAAAGCTATGAAGCCTTAAATAGATGTAGAGACAAAAGATAGGGGCGGGCATCAGTGGACATATAGGAGCTGAAGTAGTAAGAAAAGAATAAGAGCTAGAAAGATGGCTCAGTGATTAAAAGTGTAGACTGCTCTTGCAGTTCAATTCCTAGTATCCACACCAGGTACCTCACATATAACTCTAGTTTCGGGGTGATCCAAAGCCTCCGGCCTCTGTAGATACTTGCAATCACATGCTACACCCAAATGCATACACATAAAGTAAATCTTTAAAGTGAAAAATAGAAAATGCTACATAAAATACTCCTGGAAATAAGAGAAGAGAGCATCGAGAAGGAAAAGGTGGGCAATATCCTAAGTACATACAAAGATTCTCAGTGTCATTAAGGAGACATAAATACACATGATGTGCCACTTGAAACAAACTAGGATGACTACAATAGAAAGACTAACAAACATTGGTGAGGATGAGGAGAAGGCAGAATGTGGATGAAATGCATGTTACATTTCTGGTAGAACTACAAAGTGATATAGCTACTCAAGAAACTGGGAAAGGTTTCAAGATGCTGGTCAAAGCTACCCTATAACTCAACAATTCCTCTCCTATGCATATACCAAAGAAAAATGAAAGCAAATGTCTACACAAAAGTTTAAACATAAATGTTCACAAATGTTTATGTTAGTTTTAAAGTGGACAAATCCAAAATATTTATTAGCTTAATTTCTAAAAAGTTATTATCCATAAAAGAAAATATGCTAGCTATGGTGGTGGTACAACTCTGTAGTCACAGTAATCGAGAAAGCAAAGCATTTGGATAGCAAGTTTGAGGCCAGTCTGGACTATACAGCTAGTTCAAAATCAGCTTGGGTAGGTAGAAATCCTGTCCCAAAGAGGCGGGGATGGTGGTATCGAGGAATAAACAATAGCTGAAATATTGGAGGGGGGAGGCAGGCAATCCAAACAAAAACATTTCATGTCACTGTTACTCTCACCATCACCAGCACTGACATGTGAGGAAGTCAGAAGAGTGAATCATAGAATAAAGGATACAAGGCTGTGAGAAACTTTTTTTTTGCTACTATTTTTTTAAATTTTTTTTTTATTGATTTATATGAGTATACTGTAGTTGTCTTCAGACACACCAGAAGAGGGCATCAGTTTGCATTACAGATGGTTGTGAGGCACCATGTGGTTGCTGGGAATTGAACTCAGGACCCCTGGAAGAAGAGCCAGTGCTCTTAACCGCTGAGCCATCTCTCCAGCCCTTTTTTTGCTACTATTAAAGACTGAACCTAGGACCTAATGTGTGCTGGTTAAGTGCTTTACCACTGAGTTACATACATCCCACCATAGGGCTTTGTTTTATTTTAATTCCCTTCTATTTTTTAATTTATTTCAATGTGTGTGTGTGTGTATGTGTGTGTATGTATATGTGTGTATAGGTCCATAAGCAATGGCATGTGTGTGGTTAGCAACTTTCAAGAGTCAGTTCCCTCCTTCCACTGTAGGCTCTGTGAATTGAACTCAGGTTGTAAGCCTTATCTGTTGAGGTGCCTAGCTGGCATTATTTATTATTTTTGAGACAGTATCTCATGTAGCCCAAGCTGGTGTAGAACTTGCTATGGAGCTACTAAGGATGACCTTGCACTCCTGATCCTCCTGCCTCTGTTTCCCACGTGTTGGGATTATAGACATATGCCACCATTTCCAATCTCCTCTTTCTTCCCTTGTATACAGTCTGACACTCTGCTCAGCTCTGGAACTGTCAACATAAATAACATTACTTCTAGTAAATCACAAACTGGCCGGATATATAAGTAATTACAGGATAAGAGCTTTAAAGCTGATTTCACTGTGCTCCAGAACACAGAGGATCAAAGAACAAAAACAAAACAGGTTTGTTTTTTTTTAAGCAATCAGGGAACTTCAGAAAGAGGGAAAAAGATTGTAAAGACATGAAGAAGTAAAGAAATACCTTGGAATATTCAAATAAAATGTAATGGTGCATATTTGATTAGAGTCTATAGTGGATACCAGAAGCTAGTGATTGGAAAGGAAATTTGATAAGTTGGACTGGCTTGTGGAAAGCTTCAGAATCTAGTTATCATTATTGTTCTGTTTATACATGAGAAAACAGAAAAAGTCGTGAGATGCTAAACTACGGATGCATCATAGCTGTATTAGTATTACTCTATACTCTGGGTGTCAACACTTATACATGAATTAATGCATACTGACTTCTTCCTCCCAGCCATTCCTGTTTGTTTGTTTGTTTTAAATAAAATGAGCTTCCCTGGTGGTCTAGTGGTTAGGATTCGGCGCTCTCACCGCCTCGGCCCGGGTTTGATTCCCGGTCAGGGAAATACTGTTGCTGGGCGGTGGTGGCACACGCCTTTAAACCCAGCCCTTGGGAGGCAGAGACAGGCGGATTTCTGAGTTCGAGGCCAGCCTGGTCTACAGAGTGAGACAGCCAGAACTACACAGAGAAACCCTGTCTCGAAAAAACAAAACAAAACAAAAAATGTACATCTAGCTCCTGTAACAAAAATGCAGACTGAGTTAAAATACACAAAATATGGCTACAAGAACATCCTTTGTAGAGTCTACCCATACCCAATGTCTCAAATTCAACAGAGAATATATTAAAAATTAAATAGAGGAAGGCTGGGTGTGGCAGAACATGGATTTAATCCTAGCACTAATTTGGGAGAAGAGGCCAAAGTGTTTCTGTGATTTTGAGGCTAGTCTGGTCTGCATAGTTAGTTCCTGGCCAGCCAGAGCTACACAGTGAGACCATGTCTCAAAAAGGATTAAATAATAAAGCTAAAAACAAGCAATACTTATTATATGACTGAAATGTATACTACCCAATGTGCATACTAAAAACTGTACATTATAGTCTTTTCATTCATTCTCATCTACTCTGAATTTAGAACCAGCAAGGGGATAAGAATCTGAAAGGTGGGGCTGGAGAGATGGATCAGCAGTTAAGAGCACTGACTGTTCTTCCAGAAGTCATGAGTTCAACTCCCAGCAAGCACATGGTGGCTCAAAACCATCCATAATGAGATCTGATCCCTCATATGAGCGAGCAGGGCTGAAGCCAAGAGGGAGAAGGGAAGGAGGGCAGGAAACAACAAGAATCTGAAAGGTGACCTTTGCAGTCAAGGAACAAGGGACTATTACCATTATAAGTTGCACTATTTTTCACAATTAGTTCCAAATGTTCTCTGAATTCTTCCCGAGATGGATAAAGGCGTTTGCGTACATTTTCACGGAGTGTCTGTAGATCCATTGGCCGGGTGATGATTTTGTAGTAATCCTTTACAACCTTTGCATTAACTGGAGTATGGAAAGGGTATGTCTGTGGAAACAAGAGTCAACACCGTTTGTGAGCAAGAATACTTAAAACAGCCAATTATATCTTACAAGTTTACCAATTCTCAAGAGAATTTTCAGATATAGTAACTCTGTTTCTTTCATTAAACCATTTCTCCTCTTTTTCTTCGTCTTTTTCCCATCCTCCCTCCTTCCCTCCCTTTCTTTTTGGGTTTTCAAGACAGGGTTTCTTTGTGTAACCTTGGCTGTCCTAGAACTTGCTTTGTAGACCAGACTGGTCTCAAACTTACAGAACTCCGTCTGCTTCTGCCTCCCAAGTGCTGGGATTAAAGGCATCAGCCACCACACCTGGAAGGTATTGAATTCTTTGGAGCTTGAGTTATAGGTGGATGTGAGCACATGGGTGCTAAGAACCAAGGGTGATCCTCTGCAAGTGCAGTATATATTCTTTTTTTAAAGTTATTTTTGGGTTTATTTTTATTATTTTATGTGTATGAGTGTTTTGTCTACATGTAAGTCTGTGTACCTCATGTGTCTGGTACCTGAGGAGGTGATGAGCTTCCAAGTAGGTGTTGGAAATTGAACCTGGGTCCTTTGCAACAAGTGTTCTTAACCACTGACTCAGCTACCCAGCCCCAGGAGTATGTACTCTTATCTATTAAACTGTCTTCCTAGTTCCATATATATTAGACACTCATGGAATGCAAAAGCTAGTCTTGTAAAACATACAAGTTGGAGGCTCAGTGTTTGTAATAGCACAGTATGCTCTTCCAGAGGACCTAAGTTTGGTTCCCAGTTCCTATGTCTGGGGACTCACAACCTCCTGTAATTTTGGTTCTAGGTAAATCAATGCCTCTGGCCCCTAAGGATACTTGCATATGCATAGAGAGACATACACATAATTTTTTAAAAAATATTCTTTCTACTTTAACATCCAGAAATTTGAATTCACATATCTATCACAAAAAAGAAAGAATATTGAGTTGAAACTAAAAAAAAAATTAGCTTTATATCCTCTTATAATTCATGTGTCCCTCTGCCTGCATTCTGTCCTTCATCACCTAATAGTCTATTAAATAATTTAAAAACAGACAAAAATCCCAAAGAATTAAGAATTTCAGATACAAAGATATACACACTACTGCCATCTAGCTGAAAAAAAGCAAAGGGCCTTTGTTTTCCTATTCTATATATCTAATGCAATGAACTCACATTTGGAAGATCTCTCATGTCATTGATAATAGACTCCAAGATAGAAGACAGTGTCACCATCGGGTCTGTCCGGCGCCGGTGGATGGATTTATGAGGTCTCTAAAAAACAAAAATATCAGAATACTTTAGAGAGACAAAATACCCAATATTTTCAAATATACTGATATATTTTAGAAATCTTCAATAATGCCAGACTTAGAGGACTTAAGTCTATAATCTTAGTAACTGAAGGCTGAGGTAGGAGGATTGCTGTAAGTTCAAGGCCAGCCGAGATTACATAGTAAGTTCTAGACTAGCATGGACTAGAGGGAAACCAATCTTAAAAGCAAAGTTGGGGCAGGGGAAGATGGTAAGTTGAAGAGATGGTTCAATGGTTAAGATACCTTGCAGTTTTTGCAAAGGACCTGGGTTTAGTTCCCAGCACCCACATAGTAGCTTACAACTAACTCCATAGTGTACCCTTCTCTGGGCTCTTGTGACATCAGGCATGCATCTAGCAGACTTATTTATACACATGCAGGCAAAATAATAATGTACATCAAAGAGGGTCAGGTAGTAAGATAGCTCAGTGGATAATGGCACTTGCCATAGAAGACAGTGACCATAATTTGATCTCCAGACTCCAGGTAAAGAAGTAAACTGACTTCATATGTCCTCTGATTTCCACTTGTGCATCATGGCATATGCACAGATGAACACACATATACACCACACCATATATAGATGGCTTAACTGCTTTATCTCTCTAGCAGAACATTATTTTTTGGTGTGGTTGGTTTTTGTTTGTTTATTTGTTTCTTGAGACAGTCTCTCAATGTAGCACTGGAGATATATATATATATATATATCAATCAGCTAGGTGTGATAGTACATGCCTTTAACCCAGTACTAGGGAGGCAGAGGCTGGCAGATTTCTGAGTTCAAGATCAGTTTTGTCTACAGAGTGAGTTCCAAGAAAGTCCCAGGGCTACCCAGAGAAGCCCTGTCTTAAAAAAAAAAAAAATAGATACTTTTTTTTTTTTTTTGGTTTTTCGAGACAGAGTTTCTCTGTGTGGCTCTGGCTGTCCTGGAACTCACTCTTAGACCAGGCTGGCCTCAAACTCAGAAATCCGCCTGCCTCTGCCTCCCAAGTGCTGGGATTAAAGGTGTGCGCCACCACTGCCCGGCTAGATACATTTTAATAAGTTGTATAATGAACAATATATATAATGCTCAAGGAATAAACATAGGGAACATCTGACACTGACAGAACCATGCTACAGAAGGATAGGGGAATCAATGAGAATCCATTTGATAAGACAAAAATGCAGATACTCACATTCAAATAGTCACAGTGAACAGTGGTTCCAACCCGCCGTTTTTTCTTGGGAGGAAGTTGTTGTTTAGGGAATTTCAGGACCAGAGATTTTCTTCGAACTTCATCCGCACTGCAATCAGTAACATTGTCATAGTGTTTTTATAGTCTTCAGTGGTTAAGAATACTTGCTACTCTAACAAAGAGGACCCTGGTTCAGCTCTTACCACCTACATGGTAGCTCATAACTAGACAGTAATTCTAATTCCAGTGGATTTGACACCCTCTTCTGACCTCTGTGGGTACCAGGCACACACAATGGCTCACAAGATTTATTTATTTTTCAAACATACCAGAAGAGGGCATCAGATCCCATTACAGATGGTTGTGAGCCACCATGTGATTGCTGGGTATTGAACTCAGGACCTCTGGAAAACCAGTCAGTGCTCTTAACTGCTAAGCCATCTCTCTAGCACTTACATTGTTTTTTTGGTGTGGCTGATTTTTTTGTTTTTGTTTTTGTTTTTTTTTTTGAGACAGAGTCTCTCAATGTAGCACTGGGTGTCCTGGAACTTGCGATGTAGAACAGGCTGACTTTGAACTCATAGAAAGTTCTGGGATTAAAGTACTACACACCACATCTGGCCTTACTTTTTATTTTTGAGACAATGTCTAAGTTGCCAAAGCCGATCTATTTTCCTAAGTAAGCATATAAAGTAATGTGTTTCATTATGATATTCATACACATATCACTTTACTTTGTTTTTCATTCACTCCTTCCATACTAACCACCCTCATCCCTCATGCCCCCTTTGTCTCCTCCAATAGCTTCCCTTCAGCCTTCCATCGTCACATGTATTTCATTACTCTCTTTTTTATCACCTCCTCCTTCCCTCTTGGTCTCCTTTAAATTCAGTTTATAGCTTAGGCTGGTCTTGAACTTTCGATCCTCCTAGCTCTTCTTCCCAGGTAACTGGAATTACAGGCCTGTACAACTTGGCCCAGTTCAAAAGTTCTGAACATAAAATATCTCATTGTACAACTTGAGCTACAAGTCAGACAACAAACTCCAAAAAATCCTGAACCTATTTTATAGGATTTTTGTGTGTGTGTCAATAATAGTAATTTTGAAACTATTTTGCACTTACAAGTCAGAGAAAAGGGACAAATATATTGATGTTAGGAATCAGAAAAGGATAAAAATACAAAATAAGATGATAAGTAAAATGTGAATTAAAGTATTAGTATAAAGTTACAATTTAAAACATGTATACTGCCGGGCGGTAGTGGCACACACCTTTAATCCCAGCACTTGGGAGGCAGAGGCAGGCGGATTTCTGAGTTTGAGGCCAGCCTGGTCTACAGAGTGAGTTTCAGGACAGCCAGGACTACACAGAGAAACCCTGTCTTGAAAAAAATAAAAATAAATAAAACATGTATACTTACTAGTTCTGTCCACTAAAAAGCCTAGAAACAAGGATAACCCAGTGGTAACAAACATATGCAATATCAAGAACTTAGTTTCTTTTTCTGCTTGCTTTTTAAGATTTACTTTTTATTATTTTTAATTATGTGTAGGAAGTGTATGTAGTGATATGTATAGTAAAGCCTTTATCTCTGGCCACCACAGCCCAGCTTATTTTATAATTTTTAAAATGGGAAAATTTTTAACATCTCCATTTTTAAAAATTTATTTATTTTTACTTTATGTACATTTTGTTTTGACTACATGTATGTCTGTGGGAGGGAGTCACATTCCCTGGGACAGATGGTTGTGAGCTGCCATGTCGTGCTGGGAATTGAACTCAGTGGGTCCTTTGGAAGAACAACCAGTGCTCTTAACTATTAAACCACTCTCCAGTCCCTAACACCTCCATTTTATCTATTAAATTCTCTAAGGCAAGAAGATTGGGCATATGTATAGTTTGCTTTATAGTCTCTCATTTTATCTTAACTACTATTATGCCAGGTGTGGTGTTCCATCCCTGTAATCCTAGCTGTGTGGGAGGCTGAGACAGAAAGCTTCAAAGTTTAAGGCTAACATGGGTAATTTAGCAAAACCTTAAACAATTTGTGTAAGGGTTTGAGGATGTAGCTCAGTGATAGAACACTTACTTGCCTACTGTACCTACCAGTACCACAAAAAAACAAGCAAAACAAAACAGAACAAAAAACTATTCCAGTAAGGGTACTTGTATAAATATTAAGACTTAGCCTGGCTTGGTGGCAAAAGCCTTTAATCCCCCAGGCAGAGGCAGGAGGATCTCTGAGTTCAAGACCAGCCTGGTCTACAGAGTGAGTTCCAAGATAGCCAGGGGTAGAGTTTCTGTATTCAAACTAAATAAAACAAACAAAAAAGCCAACCGAACAAAACCAGAAGAAAAATATTGACTTAGAAAACATAGTATGGGGGCTGGTGAGATGGCTCAGTGGTTAAGAGCACTGACTGCTCTTCCAGAGGTCATGAGTTCAAATCCCAGCAACCACATGGTGGCTCACAACCATCTGTAATGATATCTGACACCCTCTTCTGGTGTGTCGGAAGACAGCTACAGTGTACTTACATATAATAAATAAAAAAAAATTAAAAAAAAAAAGAAAACATAGTATGTACAAAGGTAAGTAAGTAAGCCCCAATGCTCACTGGAATTTTCATTACCAGCAAGAATTACTTGTGATAATTCAAAGTTCCTACAACCCCTAGTTCCACTTCAAAGAACAATCACACTACATTTACCCCTGTCAGCCACAATCATTAATCTTGAACAGATCTTTGCTGCAGCACTCCTTGACTGCCATCCCTTACCTCTCAATTAGCTGTTTGCCCAAAACAATCTTGGTCCCTTCAACCTTGATAAGTTCTTCATTATCATTAGGAATGACTGTCTTTTCCAGCTCTTCCTCTTGTTCCTCTGTCATGGCAACAGGGTTAGAAGGTGGGGCATTTGTTTGATAATAAAGGGGGCAGAATTTATTTGTCCTCATGTGCCCGATGGCACCACATGCTCCACATTTCAGCTGCAACAGAAAAAGATAGCAATATGTTAGAGGCAAACAGGGTGAAGCAGATCAAAATGAGAACAAAATACATATGCAGCAGGGGAGCAGACATCACTGGGGGAGAGTCGAGACAGGGTTTCTCTGTGTAGCCCTGGCTGTCCTGGAACTCACTCTGTAGACCAGGCTGGCCTTAAACTCAGAAATCCGCCTGCCTCTGCCTCCTGAGTACTGAGATTAAAGGCATGTGCCACCATGCCTGGCTTAATATACTTACTTTTAAGTCAGGACGTTCCTTCATTTTTTTGGGCTTTTTCTCGGGAGGACCCTTCAGCTTTTCCTTTTCCTGGTTCCGTTTAAGTCTCCTCAATTGCTCTTGAATCCTGCGCCGTTCTTTTCTCATCTCTTCTCGGTGTTGCTCATCAAAAAGGGCAAATTTTCGACTGAATAACAGGGAAAAAAGACAAGATCATAAGCAGCTTAAATTAAGATGACTACCCTGAAAGCTACCATCTCAGAATATAAGTAATTCATCCAGGCTGAAGTGAAATAAATTGTCTGCCACCTTCATCTTCCTTGTTAGCCAGTCCCCCACATGCATAGAGTAACATTTCTCAGTGTAAGTCTTGAATAATCATAAATGTTTTGCAGTTGAATTTTGAGATATTGTTTTGCAACCCAGACTGGTTTGGAACCTGTATTCCTTCTGCCAAAACTTCCCATTATAGGAGTAACTTTTCTAAGATTTTTGCAGAGCCAAACTACTGCAATCTAAATGTAGTAAACATGGTTATTTCTCTAGTGATTTGGCTTTGTTCAAATCCAAGATCTAAAGACAAGAAGGTTCTAACTAACAGCAGATTTCCAGGGTTAATGGTGTATATTCCTATCACTACAACTCACACACATACTTCTCAATCATTATTATTTTTTCTGCCATACTCAAAAGCAGCACATCAAACTCACATGAACTCTTCATCTTTTGTGGTCCGTATGCGTACATAAGCATCAATAACAGCTGCTTTCCGGACTGTCTCACAACGAACATACTCCTTCCCCTCCTCATCTCGGAATGTTCGATAAATCTTGAGACAGCGGCCAGTGGCAGAAGAGTTAAGGCTAGTCACCGAAGCTGTGTCATCATCTCTGTGATTGTTTCCTCCTGCTGCTGAGCCCGCTGCTTCAAGGTAAAAAACAATTTCCAAACACTCCCCCTAACACCCAAATAGTCACTTCTTGGGGTTGAACAGAGATAGATGCTTAACATACCATGAAACTACAATACTACTAAAAACAGAGTTGCTACTAGTCACAAGAACACCCCTGATATGGTCTTTTCCAACTCCTTTTTAACCACTACCCATTTCCATTTTCCTAAGTACAAACATTCTAGAAATACCTCGGAGTATTGGGCTTCCTATTGGAGACAGAGAAGCAATAGTTAAATATTGTTATTTCACTAAATAGAAGGGTGACAGAAAACTCCCAGCAGCAAATAGTCTGGATGAAAACATCCAAGCAAACACTGGAGAGGAAGGAAATACGCCTAGTCTTAAGACCTATCTAAGGTATACTTCTAAAACTTTAATATGAATAGGAACTCATCGGAGAGCTTGTAAAAATCTAAACTAAACTCAGTAGGTATAGAGAACTCAGGCTCAAGATGATTCTGCAAATGATTATAACAAATGTCCATGTAATGTAGATACTGTGTTCTAGGATCATACTAGCAAAGAACTAGAGGACTACAATAGTATAAACCATATATCTTTACAAAGTACCCAGAGACACAAAATTTTTCAAAGCTTCACAGAGATGGGCAACAAAGATAAGACTAGTACGAATGATAATGGTCACTCTAATCTTCACTCTCAGACTTCATCCTCTCAGTATCTACATTCACTACCTGCTTGATGATATCTGTAATCAGAAGCATCATGGAGATCTCATAATCCATCACCCTCACCATCAGCTTCTGCAACTTTTGGTGGATGACTTTTAGTTCATTTTAGGATCTAAGATTTCTTTAAGAATCTTCTGCAAGCCATGAAACTCAACCTTCTGCATATAATTTTAAATGTAAATTCAGAGAGTTCAAAGACAATCTGGCAAATCCATCCACAGATTCTGTACTTTATCTTTTAAAGATAGTGTCTAACTATGTAGCCCAGGTTGGCCTTTAATTCAAGAGCTTCCTGCCTCAGCCTCCCAAGTGCTGGGATTAAAAATATCTGCCACCATACCTAGCCAGATACTTCATATAGTTTTAAAACAAAGATCAACAGAGTCAACCAACCTGGACCCTAGAAGCTCCCAGAGACTGAACCACCAACCAAAGAGCAAGCATGGGCTAGGCATAGGTCCCCCACACATATGTAGCAGATGTGCAGCATGGTCTTTATGCGGGTCCCCCAACAACTAGAGTGGGTACTGTCCCTGAATATGTTGCCTGCCTATGGTCCCATTTCCCTAACTGGGTCTCCTTGTCTTGCTTGCCTCTGTGGTAGAGGATGTGCCTAGTCCAACAGTAACTTGATGTGGCAGTGTGGGGTGATATCCAGAGGGGCCTCCCTTTCTCAAAGAAGAGGAAAGGGGAATGGGAGGATGAGTACCTGGTATTGGGATATAAAGTAAGTGAGTGAATAAATAAATAAATAAATGGAAAAAAACTTGTTACTTTGGATGAAAGCCTAGAAAGCTGATCTGATTTTACGTATAGTACTAATAGCCTGGTTTAGCCAGGTACCTGACACAGAAAGAGGAAGCAGTAAGCTGGCAGCATCTCTTCAGTTTTATCCCCACAAACTGGAGTCATTTGTAGAATCTTACTATCTTATCTACAAATTTCTCTATACTCATTCCCTACTTTGTCTTCAGCTTGGAGTCAGTTATAGTCTGCAGTTATCTAACCCCTATTTTTGATCCTTTTCTTATCTGAGAAGTCCCCTCACCCAGTAGCATCCGCTGGAGTTCCTTCCGTTCCTGCTCCTCCCGTTCCCGAGACAGCTGAGAGCTTGTTTTCTTATTCTGCAGCATATTCTCAATGTTCTTTCCCATTTCTTCAAAGTCACTGTCTTCAGCTGAGCTGCTATCTGTGTCAGTTGATAAGACCTCTGTTGATGACAAAACCCTAGCAAGAGAGGGAAAAAGGTTAAACACAAGGGAAATACAAGTGTACAAAGTAGAACTGGAGAAGAAAATTGAGAAATCAACCTTAAAAAGATATGCAGAATCCAGACACAAAACCCGTAACAGAAAAACTACATCTTGCTAGACATTTCACAAATTTGCAAAATTGCAGCAATTTTTTTTTCAGAATTCCTGGAGAAAAGCTGAGAAAACGGCACACAGGCCATTTTCTTTTATTTTCTTGAAAGAGACTCTGTGTGTTTTTTCCTTTGCCCCTAGGTATGCCTTGTTTATTCTTCCTATCCCAGTCTCCTAAACACAGCTCAGCTCTTCAGTACACCACAACATTTAGATTCATGGATCATTTTAATAGCACACTATTATTCTTTTGCAAGTCACTACAAGAAAAAAATATACCCATTAACACACTTAAAGCTACTAGGCCCAGGTCAAGTAGGCCACAAGTACTGTTATAGAACCAAGAGATCAAGCTTAGAAGTCCATGATATTCAAACTATCCTTTGCTAAATTACTTTGAAAACAGCAGGTTCAGCAGTCATGGTGGCACATGCTTATAATCCCAAAACTCAGGAGGCAAAGACAAGCCGAAGACTTGAAACCAATATAGGCTACATTGCAAGATCCTGTCCCCCCCAAAAAAAGAGCTTTAGAAAGACAGTTGTGCATGGCGGTACATGCCTTTAATTCCAGCACTCAGGAGGCAAAAAGGCAGATGATGGGTTCAGTGCTGAAGGATATTTGATCACACTGTGAACCCCGAGATTGTGCTATAGTGTGGCTCAGCCCTTAGTACACACTTTTAATCTCCCTGGCTGGAATGCCCTTAGTACACACCTTTAGTCACAAACAATGAAGGTAAAGTTACTTGATAGAAAAAGGCACCCATGTTTGAAAGTGATATCTAATTGAGTGGCAGACAAAGTGACAAATCAGAGAAAGATTAGACAGAACAGGAAATGCCCGACTCTCATGAGAAGAGAGGAAAGGGAAGCAAGCTACTTAAGAGACTGCGAGACACAGCTGGGCTGTTTCTGGGAAGACACCATATCCAGACCCATCCCAGAGGATTTGCTGCACTCAGAGCATTGGTAAGAATCCTCCCCCACAACCAGAAGTCCCAGAGCTGCAGCCGGCCCTACCAAATACCACTCCCCTTCCACCCCCTCCACCTGGCCCTTCTCGCTGGGGCAGATGCATAGCTGGTCTGCTCCCATGAAGATACCATATTCTGACCCAGCCCAGAGGAGGATCCACTGCACTCAGAGCAGCTGACTCCTAGCTGGTCTGCTCCTGTGAAGACACCATACCCTGACAAATAGGCATGGATTCCTTCCGTTCTGAGCCGATGTACTGAGTGGACCTTGGGAGCTACCTCTGCAACCAATATCATAATACCCAGAGGAAGCTGGACTCGCAGGAGATCTAACAACTCCAGGATCATAGAGGAAGCTGGACTCCCAGGAGTTCTAACACACCGAGGATCACTGGATTACAGAGATAACTGAACTCCGAGGAGCTCTGACACAACCAAGATCACAGGAGAGACAGGTTTCTGTCAGAGTCAGTGAGTGTAGGTAGCACTAGAGATAACCAGATGGCAAAAGGCAAACGCCAGAAAGTTACTTGGCATAATCAGAACCCAATTCTCTCACCATAGCAAGTCCTGGATACCCCATTACACCGGAAAGGCAAGATTCAGATTTAAAATCACTTCTCATGATGATGATTGAGGACTTTAAGAAGGACATAAATAATTCCCTTAAAGAAATACAGGAGAACACAGGTAAACAGCTAGAAGCCCTTAAAGAGGAAAACAAAGATCCCTTAAAAGAATCACAGGAAAACACAACCAAACAGGTGGAGGAATTGAACAAAACCATCCAGGATCTAAAAATGGAAGTAGAAACAATAAAAAAAAAATCACAAAGGGAGACTACCCTGGAGATAGAAAATACAGGGAAGGTATCAAAAAAGATAAGGAAGGAAGCTTCATACTTGTCAAAGGAAAAATCTACCAAGATGAACTCTCAATTCTGAGTATCTATGCTCCAAATGCAAGGGTACCCACATGCACAAAAGAAACTTTACTAAAGCTCAAAGCACACATTGTACCTCACACATTAATAGTGAGAGACTTCAACACCCCACTCTAAGCAATAGACAGATCATGGAAACAGAAACTAAACAGAGACATAGTGAAACTAACAGAAGTTATGAACCAAATGGATTTAACAGATATCTATAGACCATTTCATCCCAAAACAAAAGAATATACCTTCTTCTCAGCACCTCATGGTACCTTCTCCAAAATTGGTCACAAAACAGGCCTCAACAGATACAAAAAGATTGAAATAATCCCTTGCATCCTATCAGATCACCACAGACTAAGGCTGATCTTCAATAATAACAAAAACAGAAAGCCCCCACACACACACGGAAAATTAACAACGCCCTACTCAATAATAACTTGGTCAAGGAAGAAATAAAGAAAGAAGTTAAAGACTTTTTTGGAATTTAATGAATTTTTAGAATTTGGCTCATCATACCAAAACTTATGGGACACAATGAAAGCAATGCTAAAAGGAAAACTCATAGTTCTAAGTGCTTCCAAAAAGAAACTGGAGAGAGCATACACTAACAACTTGACAGCACACCTGAAAGCTCTAGAACAAAAAGAAGCAAATACACCCAAGTGGAGTAGATGGCAGGAAATAAAAAAGGCAAGACCAGATGGTTTTAGTGCAGACTTCTATCAGACCTTCAAGGAAGACCTAATAGCAACTCTCTTCAAACTATTTGACAAAATAAAAATAGAAGGAACACTACTCAATTCATTATATGAAGCCAAAATTACACTCATACATAAACCACACAAGACACAACAAAGAAAGAAAACTTCAGACCAATCTCCCTTATGAATATTGATGCAGAAATACTCAATAAAATTCTCGAAAACTGAATCCAAGAACACATCAAAACAATCATCCATCATGATAAAGCAGGCTTTATCCCAGGAATGCAGGGATGGTTCAATATACGGAAATAGGAAATAGATCAACATAAGCCACTATATAAATAACCTCAAAGGAAAAAAAAAAATGATCATCTCACTAGATGCTGAAAAGCATTTGACAAAATTCAACATCCCTTCATGATAAAAGTCTTGGAAAGATCAGGAATTCAAGGCCCCTACCTAAACATAGTAAAAGCAATTTACAGCAAACCAGTAGCCAACATCAAACTAAATGGAGAGACACTTGAAGCAATCCCACTAAGATCAGGGACTAGACAAGGCTGCCCACTCTCTCCCTACCTATTCAATATAGTACTCGAAGTCTTAGCCAGACCAATTAGACAAAAAATAGAAGTCAAAGGGATACAAATAGGAAAGTAAGAAGTCAAAACATCACTAATTGCAGATGATATGACAGTATACTTAAGTGACCCCAAAACTTCCACCAGAGAACTCCTACAACTCATAAACAACTTCAGCAAAGTGGCTGGATATAAAATCAACTCAAACAAATCAGTAGCCTTCCTCTACGTGAAAGATAAACAGGCTGAAAAAGAAATTAGGGAAATGACACCCTTCACAATAGTTGCAAATAATATAAAATACCTTGGTGTGAACCTAACCAAGCAAGTGAAAGACCTGTATGACAAGAACTTCAAGTCTCTGAAGAAAGTAATCTAAGAAGATCTCAGAAGATGGAAAGATCTCCCATGCTCATGGATTGGCAGAAATAGTATAGTAAAAACTGGCCATCTTGCCAAAAGCAATCTACAGATTCAATGCAATCCCCATCAAAATTCCAACTCAAGTCTTCACAGAGTTAGAAAGAGAAATTCTCAAATTCATTTGGAATAACAAACAAAAAACCCAGGATAGTGAAAACTATTCTCAACAATAAAAGAACTTCTGGAGGAACCACCATCCCTGACCTCAAGCTGTACTACAGAGCAATAGTGATAAAAACTGCATGGTATTGGTACAGAGACAGGCAGGAAGATCAATGGACTAGAATTGAAGACTCAGAAATGAAACCACATACCTATGGTCACTTGACCTTTGACAAAGGAGCTAAAACTGTCCAGTGGAAAAAGGACAGCATTTTCAACAAATGGTGCTGGTTCAACTGGAGGACAACATGTAGAAGAATGCAAATTAATTCATTCTTATCTCCTTGTACAAAGCTCAAGTCTAAGTGGATCAAGGACCTCCACATAAAACCAGATACACTTAAACTAACAGAAGAGAAGGTGGGGAAGAACCTCCAATACTTGGGCACAGGGGAAAAGTTCCTGAACAGAACACCAATGGCTTATGCTCCAACATCAAGAATTGACAAATGGAACTACATAAAATTGCAAAGTTTCTGTAAGGCAAAGGACACTGTCAATAGGACAAAACAGCAACCAACAGACTGGGAAAAAATCTTTACCAATCCTACATCTGATAGAGGGCTAATATCCAAAGTATACAAAAAACTCAAGAAATTAGACTCTAGACAACCAAATAACCTTATTAAAAAATGGGATATAGAGCTTAACAAAGAATAGAATGGCCAAGAAGCACCTAAAGAAATGTTCAGCATCCTTAGTCATCAGGGAAATGCAAATCAAAACGACTCTGAGATTCCACCTCACACCAGTCAGAATGGCTAAGATCAAAAACTCAGGTGATAGTAGATGCTGGCGAGGGTGTGGAGAAAGAGGAACACTCCTCCATTGTTGGTGGGAGGGACTGCAAGATGGTGCAACCACTCTGGAAATCAGTCTGGCAGTTCCTCAGAAAATTGGACATAGTATTACCTGAGGACCCAGCTATACCACTCCTGGGCATATACCCAGAAAATGCTCTATGTTCATAGCAGCCTTATTTATAATAGCCAGAAGCTGGAAAGAACCCAGATGTCTTTTAACAGAGGAATGGATACAGAAAATCAGAAAATGTGGTACATTTACACAATGGAGTACTACTCAGCTATTAAAAACAATGAATTCATGAAATTCTTAGGCGAATGGATGGAACTAGAAAATACCATCCTGAGGTAACCCAATCACAAAAGAACACACATGGTATATACACTCAATGATAAGTGTATATTAGCCCAAAAGCTCGCAGTACCCAAGATACAACTCACAGACCACATGAAGCTCATGAAGAAGGAAGACTAAAGTGTGGGTGTGTCAGTCCTTCTTAGAAGGAGTAACAAAATACTTATGGGAGCAAAGTATAGAACAGAGACTGGAGGAGAGGCAGTCTGGAGACCGCCCTACCTGGGGATTCACCTAGTCACTAAATGCAGGCACTATTGTGAATGCCAGGAAGTGCATGCTGATATACCTTCTCCTGGGAGGCTCTGCCAAAGGTGGATGCTCGCAGCTAACCATTGAACTGATCATGAGGTCTCCAATGGAGGAGGAAGAGAAAAGGCTGAAGGAGCTGAAGGGGCTTGCAGCCCTATTGGAAGAGCAACAATACCAACCAACCAGAGCTCCCAGGGTTTAAACCACTAGCCTGGGAACACACATGGAGGGACCCATGACTCCAGCTGTATATGTACGGGAGGATGGCCTTGTCAGGCATTGGTGGGAGAAGAGGGCCTTGGTCCTGGTGAAGGCTGGATGCTCCAGTGTGGGGGAATTGGGAGGTGGGAGTGGGTCAATGGGTAGGTGCACACCCTGACAGAAGTAACAGGAGGGGGGACGGGATAAATGGTTTCTGTGGGGTGGGGGATGGGGAAAGAGGATAACATCTGAAATGTAAATAAATAAAATATCCAATAAAAAAAAAACTTAAAAAAAAAAAGGGACTGTGAGAGAGGAAGGAAGCGATTTTTTTGTGGGAGAGTTTTACAAAGACAGGTTGAAGAGAGAAGAAGCTAGTCATAGGTGAAGATAGAATAAGCCAGAGAATGAGACGGAGCCAGAAGTTTAAAACATTAGTATAACATTAGTATAAGGCCAAGCAAAGGAATCAGGAGAGGCCAAGAGAGAGAAGCCAGATTGAATCAGTCAGCTCGGAGAAAGAAGAGTTGGAGTCAAAACAGCTGAGTTGACCAGTCAGTCAGAGCTCAGAAAGAACTAGAAAGAGTGAGCTCATTCAGAAGTAAGTCTCAGACGCTGAAAACATTCTAAACCTAGATAAGATTGTACAGAGGCTAGAAGGCCTGGGTTTGCAGACTGAGGCAATAAGCCTCTGAAACGACAATTACATCAGAGGAATAAAAGATACTTTTACAATTCAGGGTCAGCTAGGTGTCCATACTGAGTTCAAAGCCAGCCAGAGTCAGTACCTGATATTTCACATACCCAACCACCTAGTTACATTTTTTAGGTGACATGTTCATTTGCAGTATGGATACCTGTGGCCCAGAATATAAGAGATAGATACAAGATTATCAAAAGTTTGAGGCCAGCATACCCCACAAGTTCAAAATCAGCAGGGCTCTCTCATTCCAAAATAGATAAATACTATCTGAGAGCTTGAGACAGAGTTTAGTGATAAAGTATTGTCTTGCATGTACAAGACCATTAGTTCAAAATAAAACACGTCCAGAAAAGCTCCATATTCTAGCTTAAACTTTCTATAGTACTGAATCAACATACTTGTTCTGTAGGTCAAAGATGCGCTGACATTCCTCTTTGTAACGTTCTTGATGCTCAGCCACTGAAAACCTTGATCCACGGGCAAATTTACTCATGGGCCCCTCTCCAGAGCGAGCCTGCTCTGTTGACATTGTGCGTACCACATCAATAACTTCCCAGCGGGACAACTTTTTAATCTGAAAGAAAAACAGAACTACACATATGGAACTCATTCAGGGATGTTAAAGGACAAAACTGGGAAAAAAAAAAAAGCCTAAACGAAGTTTAGGAAAGTTTTGGTAAAGTATTGAGGACCTATCATGATCTACACCATATAAAAACTCCAGATGGTTCCTTACAACACTTGCCTACCTTTTCTATCTGCATATAAAGCCTCTTACTAGGAATTTTCTTCTTCCAAACCTACCTCTTCCTCAGGCACACCAAATTTACGAAGAAGTTGCTTGGCATTTTTCAGAGACAGGCGACGAAGGTCTGCATCTGTTCCTGTGACTGTCTTTTTCACTGGCTGAGGCTCCTTATCATCCTGTCTCAAACAAAAACAAGTAAGAATCTGAAGCTGACCTAACAGTAAGCATCAATGCCATTCTGCTAAATGAAGCATTTCCAGGCTCTCCACTCTATTCATCGACTGCTCAAGCCCCATTCCTTCCATTTTTGATTTCTAGACTCTCACCTTCTGCTGTGTCGGTTTGTTTGGAATCTTTACATAGGAGAACCCTTCACCACAGCCTGTAGGATCTGCTACTCCAGTCACCTCCAGGAGACATTTGCCCTTCATGGCAGCAATGAAAGCCCTTGTAGTATTCCAAGGAGCAGTACGAACCTGAAATAAAGCAAAGGATTCTCGGGGTTGTGGGAAACATTGTTCGACACCTATTACCTAAAAACATTTTCATGATTTCTTAAACTATTAAGTTAAATATAGTGGCTATCTCGGCTCTCTTCTATGTTACTTATATCATGATATTAAATAGAGACTCAGAGTGTACCCAGAATAAGAAATATAGGAAACAGTGATGTTCTTCAAATCCATTATCCGTAAGACTTCAGCAGGTAGTGTTGTACCTACACTCAGGATGCTCATAGTTAGAAGGATAACTGCATTTGATTGTCATTCAAATGGCTTCCTTATTCTGATTTTTTATAATAGGGTCTCTAGCCCAGGTTGGCCTGAAACTCCCTAGGTAGTAAAGCTTAACCTTGAATATCTGATCCCCCTGCTTTGAGAATAATGGGATTATAGATGTGTGACATCTTGTTAGCCCAAGACCTTCTTTTTAAATGAGATAATGAGAAACACTAATTAAAAACTAGTGTTAAGGGCCAGAGATGGCTCAGTGATTAAAACCATTTAGTGTATAATCACAAGGACTAGAAATTGGATCCAAGCACCCACATAAGAAGCCCCATGTCCACAAATGCCTGCAACTCCAGCTCAAAGGGAGCTATATGATCCCCTCTTTTGTACTCTGTACACAGGCACACACACATACAAATACAAATAAATAAATCTTTAAAGTTTTCTTTGGCCGGGCAGTGGTGGCACACACCTTTAATCCCAGCACTTGGGAGGCAGAGGCAGGCGGATTTCTGAGTTCGAGGCCAGCCTGGTCTACAGAGTGAGTTCCAGGACAGCCAGGACTACACAGAGAAACCCTGTCTCAAAAAACCAAAAAAAAAAAAGTTTTCTTTGAATTAAGAAAAAGTACAGAGCTGGGTATGGTGGCACTCGCCTTTAATCCCAGTACTTGGGAGGCAGAGGCAGGCAGATTTCTGAGTTTAAGGCCAGCCTGGTCTACAGAGTTCTAGGACTATACAGAGAAACCCTGTCTCAAAAAACAAAAAGCAAACAAACAAATAAAAAGAAAGAAAGAAAAATTTTTAAAAGAAGGAAGCTATTGCTCTCTTTAGACACACCAGAAGAGGGCATCAGATCCAGTCACAGACAGATGGTTGTGAACCACCATTGGTTGCTGGGAATTGAACTCCAGACCTCTAGAAGAGCAACAGTTAGTGCTCTTAACCACTGAGCCATCTCTCCAGCCCCAATACTCACCTACGTGTGTATGTGCACATACCCACTCACAAGACACATAGACATACAATTAAAGACAAAAAAAATACAAGCTGGGTGTGATGGTGGTACATGCCTTTAATCCCAGCACTCAGGAGGTAGAGTGTTCAAGGCCAGCCTGGTCTACACAGAATGAGTTCCCTGACAGCCAAGGCTACACAGAGAAGCCGTGTCTCAAAAAAACAAAAGACAAAAAAAAAAAACCCCACAAAGAACAACAAAAAACCAACAAACCAACCAATCAAACAAACAAACAAACAAACAAGTGTTGCTGGGCGTGCTGGTATGCCTGTACTTTTAACACTTGGGAGACAGAGGTAGGAAGATTTAAAGTTCTAGTCCAGACAAAGCAAGATTCTGTCTCAAAAAAAAAAAAATTCGTAAAATCTTACTTCATCATCAATCTTCATCTGGAAATCTTCTTCATTTTCTTCCTCAGGAGCAAAAAAGGACTTCTCTCCATAGCCAGCATCCTGAAAGAAGATAATTCTATGCATAAATAATGGCAAATGAAAAAATGTAAGTTTTTTTTTCAAATAGTTTTACTGAATACTAAATATAAACTATCAAACCATATTCTGCATAGAAAATGGATTCTACTATCTTTAATGCATATATTACTGTTGAGCACTCTTAAGATCCTTGAGCTACCAGAAGATACGCCAAATTGCAAGGAATCTGCTGCATTAGCTCAGAGGCAGAATGCTTATCTAACATGTGCATGGCCCTGGGTTCAAACAAGTTTTTTTCTAGAATCTTTTTTTTTTTTTTTTGGTTTTTCCAAACAGGGTTTCTCTGTGTAGCCCTGGCTGTCCTGGAACTCACTCTGTAGACCAGCCTGGCCTCGAACTCAGAAATCTGCCTGCCTCTGCCTCCCAAGTGCTGGGACTAAAGGCGTGCGCCACCACTGCCTGGCTTTTTTCTAGAATCTTTTTAAAAATAATTTATTTTTATCTTATGTGCATTGATGTTTTGCCTGCATGTATGTCTGTGTGAGGTGTCAGATCCCTGGAGTTACAGTTGTGAGCTGCCGTGTGGGTGCTGGGAATTGAACCCAAGTCTTCTGGAAGAGCAGTCAGTGACCTCAACCATTGAGCCATACCTCTAGCCCTCACAGAAAAAAAGTTTTCAAGGAATTTATGTGGATGTGTAAATAGCTTACAGCCCATTTAAAACCAAACAATCTAAACTAAAGAGAAAGAAAAATTCTAACTACAGAATTTCTCAGTTGGACTTTTTCTGTTTTGGCCTTTGTGGTGGTTTGAATGAAAATGGCCTCCATAAGCTCACAGGGAGTGGCACTATTGGGCGATGAGGCCTTATTAGAGAAGGTGTGGCCTTGATGGAGAAAATGTGTCAGTGGTGGTAGGCTTTGAGGTGTCAAATGGTGAAGCCAGCCTCAGTGTCATGCTGTCTTCCTGTTGTCTGCCAAACTGGATGTAGAACTTCAAGCTACCTCTTTAGTGCCTGCATGCTACCATGCTTCCTGCCATGATGACAATGGACTGTAAACCAGTCCCAATTACATGTTGTCCTTTATAAGTGTTTCCATGGTCATGGTGTCTGCACAGCAAAAGAAGCCCTAACTAAGACAGCCTTATATGTTGTGCATCTCTAAACCATACTCCCAGCTATCATCTCTGTGTACGTGGGAATCTGTAAAGTTCTTTCCCTGCTTATTTTTACGAAACAGTCACCACTCAAATGTGCTATCATTTTTAAAGCAAGGTAATATGATTTAAGTTCCTCATTGAGCCTCACATTGCCATTTATCTACACTGTAGCTTTCCTTTGAATCCATATACACAGGAAGTACCTCATATAGTTTAAATTGTTTAATAACTGTTAATAATCTAGTAACTATCATCTCTATAGTATTCTCTTCTATCTTTCTCAAAAGAAATATAGATATAAGCAGTGCCTGACAAGAAGAGGCTCACCTTTAGTCTCTGTTCTGCAGCTATCATGCTGTAATAAGCACAGCACTGTTCTGGAGATACCATAGCTCTGATCTCCTCTTCCGTTGGTAAACGAAAATCAGACTTCAGCACCCACCAGTTTGAATCCATCCCTGAAAAAGATACAGAGAAAACTGTTCTGAATCCTAAAGATCCAAAAGTAACAGTATAATTAACTGACACTGAACCAATAAATCCCCTAGATATGACTAGTCAACAAAACCCCTGCTGTCAGGTTTCTTACATCTTATGTAAGGCATGCAAATACTCACTTAGACTATACTAGCAACCAATTATCATCAAATTATCAAAGTCTCTAGTAACAAGGTTTGGTATCTTCTTTTGACAACCATCAATTTCTATTCTATTAGCTATGATTTCTTTTAACTGAATGTCTTTAGGAATATGAGAGCATCAGAGAAGACAAGAAATCACACTGATGACCTGTACGTTTGAAGTCGGCACAGAGCTTTAGCCTCTTCCGGATGCTACTTTCAGAATGTGAAGGAAAGGCTTTCTTTATATCTTCCATCCGTATCCGCCGTGGCCTATCTTTACTCTTCCAAAAGAGCCGGTAAATAAAAACCTGTCCAATAAGCCAAATACATTTTATTATATAAAAGATAAAAGCCCTCACCAGGATGCGTTCTCCAACTAAGCTCAGATGTGTTTTCATTGTTCTATTAGCATGTACATCTTAGTCCAACTCCCATACTCCCACCTTACCTGCAGAAAGTCTCGGATGTGTGTATTAGCCCTTTTGGAGTTAGGACCAGGAACTTCAAACAAGGGACACTGTTGTCCCACAACAAAAATATCCACTAATTCTCGAATATAGTAACCCTGCCTTGTTCGAATGATCAGGAAGTCAGACTCTGGCATCTTATGCAGATAAATTGGAGCACGAAAAAGGTTGTTCTCAAATGCCTAATAAAAGTAAACCACAAAAGTTATTTACAGGGAAACCCTAGAAAATTCAGCCAACTATTAAAAAGGGAAAAAACTTAATTTGATCTATATTCATTAGCTCTAAAGTCTATATAATAAGATGAGCAAAATATGGAATATCAAACAAGATTTTTTTTAGTTTTTTTTTTAACTCACTGTCTTTTAGAACTTAACAGACACAAAGGAAGAAAAAGTTTAAAAACAGAGCCAGGAATAGCAGCATATGTTTCTAATTCCAGCATTCAAGAGGCTGAAGCAGGAGGATGAAGGCCATCCTGGGCTACATAATAGTTCTAGGCCAGCCTGAGCTATGGCAGGAAACTGTCTCTCAAAAAATTGAGTCAAAGCTTGGAACTGTGGCACATTCTGTAATCCTAGCCCTTGTTAGGAGAAACAGAAAGATTATGATTCAAGACTGGCCTGGACTGCACAGTGAATTTGAGGCCAGCCTGATTGTATGAGGACCCTCCCTCCCCCAAAAAAGAAAAAAGCGGGGCTGAGTGATGGTTCAGCAGGAAAAGTGCTTGTTGTACAAGCATGAGAACATGAATTTGGATCTGCAGTACTCACATAAAAAGCTGAGCAAAGAAGTATATGCCTATAATCCCAGTGGTGGCAAGGAGAGGAATAGTTGTGACAAGAAGATCCTATAAAGCCTGCTAGCCTTCTAGTGTAGGCAAAACTGCACTCCAGGATCTATGAGAGTGAAGCTATCTCAAAATAAGGTAGCAAGTAATAGAGGGAGACAACTGACAATGACCTCTGGCTTTCACACATGGATATAAAACACACACACATACACACAAACTAATTAACTAGCTAACTAATTGATGGTATTGGAGGAAAAGGTATTATAACACATACCTATAATCCCACCACTTGAAAAGCAGAAGCAAGAGGATCAAGAGTTTAAGGCCATCCTTGGCCACATAGCAAATTTGAACGCAACAGTGGCTATATGAGAGAGACGCTGACTCAAAAAAAGTGGAAAAAATTATACAGTTTAAATTCAGATGAGCCAGGCAGTGGTGGCGCACGTCTTTAATCCCAGCACTTGGGAGGCAGAGGCAGGTGGATTTCTGAGTTTGAGGCCAACCTGGTCTACAGAGTGGGTTCCAGGACACCCAGGGCTACACAGAGAAACCCTGTCTCGAAAAACTAAAAAAAAAAAAAAAATCCTAATAATGGATGTAGGAGGGATGGCTCAGTGGTTAAAAGTACATGCTTATTTTCCAGAGAACCCAAGTTCAATTTCTAATACACACTGGGAACTCACAACTCTCTATAACTCCAGTTCCAGGGGATCTGACACCCTCACACAGACATAACAATACACAGAAAAAGTAAAAAAAAAAAAAAATCAATAAATCATTTTTAAAACCCTAATAATGAACACTAAAAAGAAAGACTTTTATACTGGTGGAAAAATTAAATTCTTTGGCGGGGGGAGAGGGGGTTGAGACATAGCCTCTCTGTGTAGCCCTGACCATCCTAGAACTAGCTCTATAGACCAGGGTGGCCTTGAATTCAGTGATCCATCTTCTTCTGCTTCTTAAATGCTGGGACTTAAGGTGTGTGCCACATCCAGGCTGAGAAATTAAATTCTAAACATTTACTGTAGATAGGATAACAGAAGATAGTAAATAATCTTTCAAAAATTTAATTACATTTTTTTTCATTTATTTGGAGAGTGCCTGTGTGTGTGTGTGCACATTTGTGGGCACATGTGTGTTACGGAGTACTCAGAGAAGTCAAGAGGACAACCTCATAAGTCAGGTCTCTTTCTGCCACATAAATCCTGGTGTGTCCTGGTACTTTCTCACAGCAATAGAAATCTTAAGATGGAAACTGGCACCAGGATGAGATACTGCTGTGAAATACCTGTGTTTTTTAGAGAACTGTAAAAGGAATTTGGAACATTAAACTGGGAAAGCCATTGAGTGCTCAGAGTCTAATCAGCTGTTCTATGAAAACTTTGGAGATAATGCTAAGAACAGTACAAATGATGGAGACATGGCTTGTGACACTTTAGACCAAGGTGGGAGTCCCTCAAAGACTATTAAAGCCATTTGTGTGATATTTTGAACTAAGAACCACAAAAATGAAACATTCTGCTGACCCCTGCATGCACATGCATATGTATCCACACACTCATGTGATCATACATATATGCATGTACAAACACTCATGACAAAAATAAGTTGGGCATGGTAGTGGTATACACCTATAATTCCTGCACTTGGGAAGTAGTAGAAAGAGGATCAGAAGTTCAAGGTCACTCTGTGCTAAGATTCCTATCTCAAAGGAAAGAATTTTTTTAAAAAGCCATCAAAATATCTCAGCAAGTAAAAATGCTTGCCACCAAACCTAACCTGAGTTCAATTCCCAAGATCCACATGGAAGAATGAAAATCAACTCCTGCACATTGTCCAACTTCCATCACCCACGCACGCATGCACACACATACGTACGGTGTTAAAAAAAAAACGAACAAATTATAAAAGTAAAGAAGGAGATAGATTGATTTAAAATCAACAAGAAATCTGAAAGGAAATTACAAGAAGAAAAAAGCCAATAATAATACTCAGAACCTGGTGAGAGGGGCTAAGGGTGTGTGACTCAGTGGTAGATAATTGCTTTACATATGCAAGTTCCCGGGTTTAATCCTCCAGCACTACCTACCTCCACAAACCTAGAAGAAAATGAGTTTAAAAAGAACTCTTGCAGGTGCAGATGAGCTAGCAATAGTGGCAGTGAAAGAAAGAAATAAGATGCAAGAATAAGGGAATACTTAAGATTGCTATGGACTAGCCGGGCGGTGGTGGCACACGCCTTTAATCCCAGAACTCAGGAGGCAGAGGTAGGTGGATTTCTGAGTTCGAGGCCAGCCTGGTCTACAGAGTGAGTTCCAGGACAGCCAGAGCTACACAGAGAAACCCTGTCTCGAAAAAACAAAAACAAACAAACAAACAAACAAACAAACAAAAGATTGCTATGGACTGTCACACACCTGTAATCCTAGCACTTGGACAGAGAGCCAGGAGGGTTGCTACAAGTTCAAGGCTAGACTTGTCTATATACCAAGTTCCAGGCCACATCTAGACTACAGAGTAAGCCCATCTCAAAAAAGAAAGAAAAAAGGGAAATGATTAACATGAGAAATGAAATGGGAAAAGCCAGACAGTTCTGGAGATTGCCCACATCATTTGTGACCCTCCATAATTCTTTTTTTTAAGCTATTACCAATGGAGCTCATTATAACTTTCAGAAGAAAACATAAAAAGTACATTTTACTTAAGTAGAAACTTCTAGTTTCTTTGGAAAGTCAAATGATGTTTCGTTGGGGCATGCAGGAGAAAAGAGATCTTGCTAAAGCAAACACATGAAAGGACCTGTGATGAAGGAGTATAAATATGACCCCACAGAAAGTGGGAATGAGCAATGAGCTTTGGTTTGGTTTGCTCTGCCTATACCCAGGAACTGCTCGTGATGTTCCACAGCTTTGCCTTAGGCAAGTTGGCAAGCCTGGTGGTTTCTTCCAAATTGAACTACAACTACTTGGTGACTGCTTGCTGCAAGGACTGGTCTGTAGCTGCGGAGTCATATTTAGTGTTTGCTATGGGGCTGAACTGCTGAGAAAGATCGAGTTTGCCCCCAAAGAACTATTGCTGAACAGGTCCACTTCCCCCATATCCTAATAACTTTTCTCTTCTACTACCTCTGCTGGATAGTGGGCTAGAGGAGAGGTTGAATCCTTATTAAAAGTAGGTTGCAAAAAATGTATGCCTATATGTATTCTGGCAAGACTGTAACATTCTAGTTCAGTATTCATGATGGCCACAACAAATTATCATAAAAATGTACCACATTTTTGTAGTGGTAGACACAAACCCAGGGCCTTGAACAAGCACTCTACCACTGAGCTTCATCTCTAGTCCCTCAAAGATACTAATTTCACATGAAGAATTTAAAACATCCACAACCTACATTAATTCTAGGTAGACTTCTTGATGTATTTTTGTTTTTTCATTTTTGAGACATGGTCTTGCTCTATAGCAAACACCCATCTCAAACTTGTGACCCTCCTGCCTATGCCTTCCTAATACTGGAATTATATGCAGGCACCACCAACAGTACTTCTGCTGACCTGGAACTCACTCTGTAAACCAGGCAGGCCTCGAACTCACAGAGATTCACCTGGCTTTGCCTCCCTAAAGTTAAAGGTGTGCATCACCACCCCTGCCCCCAACCAGTGTGTATTTCAAAAAGCATTCTTATAGTAGTTCATGCTCATATTTATAACCCCAGCACTCATAAGGCTGAGGATTGCCCCCAAAGTTTGAGGCCAGTCAGAGGCCAATCTAGGCTAAATAGTAAGTTTCAGGCCAGCCTGTGCTATAAAGTAAGATCCTAGCTCAAAACACACACACACACACACACACAC